AGTTTTTGCTTTATCCATTTTTAAGTTAGTTCACTATGTGAGAAGTGAACATTTTGATGTGGATCATATATTTATAGGTTAGTTTGGTTCAACTTTAATTAACTTCAAATCAAAATGGTTGATCCAACTTATTTTTAAAGTCGGTTCTAATTTATCGAAAATAACTTTTAAACACGGATAAGTATACTATCAATTTGGATGATGAGCGAAGATTGTGATAGTTAAGACATTGTTTAATCACATTTTTAACATAATTCTAATACGTTAAATTGTAGAGCTAATTATTGTATACGTGCGGAGTCAGTGTGTGAATTAGTGCATCGTTGTGTAATATCATATTGAGACAAATACATATAATCTTATGTTTTCTTGAATGTCTACTTTTCTTTCTGCATATTTATCGCTCTCTATGGAATTGAATTAGGTTTCTCATCTTCAACAATAGGTATCAGATATATTAAGAGCAAGGTTAACAAAGAAGGAGAGTTATTTAGGATCTACAAGTTTGATGGTATGCATTTTGCATTCTAGAGGATTCAAATCGAGGATTATTTGTATAAAAAAAACCTGCATCATCTCTTTTTGAATGAAAAACCAGAAGGAACGAAGGATTATTGGGTGTTATCCGATTAACACCGTCGAAGAACATTGGTCACACTATGACGATGGAGAAAATCATAACGAATTTGATGAAGGTATTGTCCGATAAGTGTAAGAATTCATCTATGTAAAATAGTAGAAATTTTCAATAAATTGCATATAATTATCAATCAGTCGGAAGCCCAAAAGAGCTACAACCAATAACTTCATAAGCAACGCGAAATAGAAATTCGAGTGACACTCGTGATATTATTCTTGCTGGGGAAGTCCGTATAAAAGATTTTGGAAAAGTCTCAATATCGAGTTTTGCCCTAAATGTCAAAAGTAGGATAGGGTTATCGAGAAAAATTCCAATGGAGATAATAGTGAAAAGTAAAGGAGTTGTATAAGCAAGTCTGGAAAGAATATGAAATGCTAGAACTGTGACAAGACTGATCACATAAAGAAATATTGCAGAAGGCCAAAGAAGAAGAAAGAAAAGACTAAAAGAGCATCAACAATGCTAATGCAGTAATTGAAGAGGTAAAAAAGACTTTATTAATGTCAGTGACACTTTTATTGATTTTTTGGATGATAGATTCTGTCGGGAAATTTTACGCCAATTCCCTTTATTTCTATTTACCCGTAGAATCTTTTGTAGTTCGGGATGAATATTAGCAAACAAAAAAAATAAAGAATATAACGCACAAATTAAACAGACTGTCAAAACTTTTCACTATATGAAAAATTGTTACAATCATATAGAATTTCACTTACCAACCTAATCCCGAAGTATTATAAAGAAAAAAATAAACCCGAGCTTTACCACACCTACTTTTCCACCCAATGTATGAAAAGTCTTAAGATGTTAGGCCCACAATATTTTTCTCTCAGATCAACTCTCTGACCACACCTAAAATAATGAAATACATCCACTATTATAGGATCAATAATCAAGTAGCAGAGTTTAATTTAAACTCAAACAAGACTCTTTTAATTCAACAAGGATTCTTTCGTATGCAAGACTTCAAAATCGACTGTAAATTAGAGACCAAATTTTACAAGGATTCTATTCTCAACTTTACTTTGAAGTGGTCTAATACAATAACTACATTTTATTATTTGCAATAGAAGTCTTCCAACTTTTAACTTTTGAGGAAATTACCTTACAATCTCCACCTTGTCGAAAACGAATCAATCTTGTCATCTCTTCTACAACTTTTAATCACAATACTTGGAAAAAATAGGTAAGCCTTTGATACACTATAACAGTCCCATACTCCACCATATGAGTATAACCACTCAGAATTATTCGTGAACTCCAAGCATTTCATCGACTACATGTCGAAACAACCTTGTTGATAGTTATGGTGCAACTCTCCCACTGACTTTTTCATAGAGCTCATCAGCCATTGACATCACAACACCATTACATACCTACACATGTTGCATCAAATGTCAGTCAATGCTACGTGTAAATATGCTGACCCGCGCCAATAAGAACACATCCTCTATCATGGCAACTAGCAACATGCATGAGGATGTTCTCATCTTACTTTACAGCACTGCATCTGCGTCCTCCACCACTAGGAGAGACGCATTGTCCGACTCCAATCAGTTAGTCGACTCTGCTACACCTTTTGGACAATTTCTCTTCACGTGACCAATCTGATCGTAGTTCCACTTGAATCAATAAATCCTTAACTTGTACTTGCCACAAGCCAAA